TGAAACTAGAAATCAATTACAAAAAGAAAACTGGAAAATTCACAAACAGGTCAAAGAAAAAACTCAAGAGAAATCAATAATATCTTGAGACAGGTAAAGATAGAAACAGAACATACCAAACTCATGGGGACTCAGCATAGGCAATCTAAGAAGGAAGTTTATAGTGATAAACCCCCATATTTAAGAAAAAAAAATCTCAAATGAACAACCTAACCTGACATATCAAGAAACTAAAAAAAGAAAAGCAAACTAAGCCCAAATTAATAAAGGAAAGAAATAACAGAGATCAGAATAGACATAAATGGAATAGAAACTAAAAATACAATAGAAAAGAATCAACGAAACTAACAGCTGGTTTTTTGGAAGGATAAAATAGACTAACTTTACTGCTCTTGCTGTTTAGTCACTGACTTGTACCCGACTCTTTGAGTCCCCTTGGACTGTAGCCCACCCAGGCTCCTCTGTCCATGGGATCTCCAAGGGAACAATACTGGAGTGGGTTGCCATGTCCTCTCCAGGGTATCTTCCCGACCCAGGGACTGAACCCAAGTCTCCTGCTTGGCAAATGGATTCTTTTCCACTCAGTCACCTGGGGAAGATGAACTTTAAAATAGCATCAAAAAGAATAAAATGCTTAGGAATAAAGTTAACCAAAGAGGGGAAAGATCTATTTATTGAAAACCGTAAGATACTGATGAAAGAAATAGAAGAAATATAAATAAATGGAAAGATATTCTCTGCTCATGGACTGAAAAAATTAATGTTAACACTGTTAAAATGTCCACACAACCCAAAGTAATCTACAGATTTAATGTACTCCCTCTCAAAATCCCAATGGCACTTTTTGAGAATTTTTTTAAAAAAGTCCCCAAATTTGTGTGAAACCACAAATGACCCTGAATATCCAAGCAATCTTAAGCAATAACAACAATGCTGGAGACTTCATACTTCCTGATTTCAAACTACATTACAAAGCTATAGAAATCAAGTCAGTATTTTTTTGGCATAAAAGCAGACTCACAGATCAATGGAACAGAATAGAGAACCCAGAAATAAACTCATGCATGTATACTCAATTTTTCACACAGAAGCCAAGAATACACAGCAGGAAGGGGCAGCCTCTGAAGTAAATTGTGTCAGGAAAACTAGATTTCCACATGCAAATGAAACTGAACCCTATCTTATACCATACACAAAAATCAACTCAAAATGAATTAAAGACTTGAACATAAGACCTGAAACCATAAAATTTCTAGAGGGAATATAAAGGTTGTAAGCTCTTTGACACTGGTCTTGGCAATGATATCTTTGGATTTGACACGAAAAGCAAAAAAAACAAAGCAAAAATAAACAAGTGGGACTACATCAAATCAAAAAGCTCCTGCTCAGCAAAAGAAGCCATCAACAAAATTGAAAGAGAAGTTATAGAATGGGAAAAAATATTTGCAAAGCCCATATCTGATAAGCAGTTAATATTAAAAATATATAAGGAACTCACAATGTCATAGCCCCAAATTAATAAACAAATAAAATAATCCAATTAAAAAAGGGAGACCCAAATAGTCATTTTTCCAAAGAAGACATCCAAATGGCCAAGAAGTAAATGAAAAGGTACTCACCATCACTAATCAGCTGGGGAAATGCAAATTAAAACTAAAAATGAGTTATCACATCACACCTATTAGGATGGCTACTGTGAAAAAGACAAGAGTTAGCAAATACTTGCCAGAATATGGAGAAAAGAGAACTCTTCTACATTGCTGCTAGGAATATAAACTGGTAGAGCCACTATGGAGAACAGTTTGGAAGGTCCTCCCTGGTGGCTCAGATGTTAAAGAATCTGCCTGCAATGCGGGAGACTTGCATACGATCCCTGGGTTGGGAAGATACCCGGAGGAGGGCATGGCAGCCCACTCCGGTATTCTTGACTGGAGAATCCCCATGGACAGAGGTGCCTCGTGGGCTACAGTCCATGGGGTCACAGAGAGTTGGACACAACCGAGCAACTAAGTACAGCCCAGCGTAGCACAGAACTTCCCTACCGCTATCCCAAAAAGATTAGAATATTGCTCGAATCTTCCCGACCCAGGGACTGAACCCAAGTCTCCTGCTTGGCAAATGGATTCTTTTCCACTCAGTCACCTGGGGAAGATGAACTTTAAAATAGCATCAAAAAGAATAAAATGCTTAGGAATAAAGTTAACCAAAGAGGGGAAAGATCTATTTACTGAAAACCGTAAGATACTGATGAAAGAAATAGAAGAAATATAAATAAATGGAAAGATATTCTCTGCTCATGGACTGAAAAAAATTAATGTTAACACTGTTAAAATGTCCACACAACACAAAGTAATCTACAGATTTAATGTACTCCCTCTCAAAATCCCAATGGCACTTTTTGAGAATTTTTTTTAAAAAGTCCCCAAATTTGTGTGAAACCACAAATGACCCTGAATATCCAAGCAATCTTAAGCAATAACAACAATGCTGGAGACTTCATACTTCCTGATTTCAAACTACATTACAAAGCTATAGAAATCAAGTCAGTATTTTTTTGGCATAAAAGCAGACTCACAGATCAATGGAACAGAATAGAGAACCCAGAAATAAACTCATGCATGTATACTCAATTTTTCACACAGAAGCCAAGAATACACAGCAGGAAGGGGCAGCCTCTGAAGTAAATTGTGTCAGGAAAACTAGATTTCCACATGCAAATGAAACTGAACCCTATCTTATACCATACACAAAAATCAACTCAAAATGAATTAAAGACTTGAACATAAGACCTGAAACCATAAAATTTCTAGAGGGAATATAAAGGTTGTAAGCTCTTTGACACTGGTCTTGGCAATGATATCTTTGGATTTGACACGAAAAGCAAAAAAAACAAAGCAAAAATAAACAAGTGGGACTACATCAAATCAAAAAGCTCCTGCTCAGCAAAAGAAGCCATCAACAAAATTGAAAGAGAAGTTATAGAATGGGAAAAAATATTTGCAAAGCCCATATCTGATAAGCAGTTAATATTAAAAATATATAAGGAACTCACAATGTCATAGCCCCAAATTAATAAACAAATAAAATAATCCAATTAAAAAAGGGAGACCCAAATAGTCATTTTTCCAAAGAAGACATCCAAATGGCCAAGAAGTAAATGAAAAGGTACTCACCATCACTAATCAGCTGGGGAAATGCAAATTAAAACTAAAAATGAGTTATCACATCACACCTATTAGGATGGCTACTGTGAAAAAGACAAGAGTTAGCAAATACTTGCCAGAATATGGAGAAAAGAGAACTCTTCTACATTGCTGCTAGGAATATAAACTGGTAGAGCCACTATGGAGAACAGTTTGGAAGGTCCTCCCTGGTGGCTCAGATGTTAAAGAATCTGCCTGCAATGCGGGAGACTTGCATACGATCCCTGGGTTGGGAAGATACCCGGAGGAGGGCATGGCAGCCCACTCCGGTATTCTTGACTGGAGAATCCCCATGGACAGAGGTGCCTCGTGGGCTACAGTCCATGGGGTCACAGAGAGTTGGACACAACCGAGCAACTAAGTACAGCCCAGCGTAGCACAGAACTTCCCTACCGCTATCCCAAAAAGATTAGAATATTGCTCGGTCTTAAAAAAAAAGGAAATCTTGTCATTTGGATGAACCTGGAGGACATTATGGTGAATGAAATAACGAAAGACAGAGAAAGATAAATATTGTATGGTTATCATTTATAAATGAAATCTACCCAAAGGAAAAAAGGCTGGACTCATAAAAACAGAAAGTAGTTGTCGCCAGGGGCTAGGGGTTGGGGGAAATGTGGAGAGGTTGATAAAACAGTACTAACTGTCAGTTATAAGAGGAACAAGGTCTGAGGATCTAAAGGATAACACGCTGACTACAGCAGATAACACTGCATTGTGTAAATGTATAACCGAAAACTGGGGCTTCCCAGGTTTCACGGTGGTAAAGAATCGGCCTGCCAATGCAGGAGATGTAAGAGATGGGAGTGCAATACCTGGGTCGGGAAGATCCCATGGAGTAGGAAATGGCAACCCACTCCAGTATTCTTGACTGGAAAATTCCATGGACAGAGGAGGCTGGCGGGTTAGAATCCAGGGGGCCGCAAAAGACTCAGACATTACTGAGCAACTGAGCACATAGCACATATAACTGAAAGTTGCTATGAGAGCAGAATTTAAATGTTCTCACCAAAAAAGAGGGGAGGAGAGATGAAATCTGAGAGGTGATGGATGTGTTAATTAATGAAATTCATTAATTAATGTCAACTAATTCAATGGAAGGACTCTGAAACATATATGTGTATCAAATGAATGACACTGTACACTGCAAATTGTACACTTACAATTTTGTCAATTAAGTCTCAGTAAAGATGAAAGAAAAACTTTGTAATTTACATCACTTTATGACAAGGAATAAGAAATATACCTTCAGAACTAGAATTGAATGTGCTTTTAAAGTAAGTTTATTAATAGTATCATTAGGAAGCTGGGTAGATGGTATCTTGGCTTATTGCTTTTCATTGTTCACTGAATTCTCTGTACATTAAATATAATATCTACAAAGGAGGGAGAGAGAGAGAAGATAGGGAGAGATTCCCCAAGTTCATACTTTCTATTTTATGCAAAAATACCTAGTTCTTCAAACTTTTACCCAAGCTGACAGTCTCACCTCTGGAGAAAGAGGACAAAAACTGCAAGAAACTACCATCCTCGTTTCACCTCCTACCTGTCATTACTTTTGATAAATCACTACACAGAACAAAGTCATTAACCTAACAAAGTGCACAGAAAAGCTAAATTGGAAATACATGCAATCACAGTGATAGTTGGAGACTTCTAGATCGCTAATTTTCTATAATTATACAGAGTAGGTAAAATGATTGACTTTTCTTTTTCTTCAAGACCCCAACAGCCTCACTTGACTCTGAGACCAACATCCTGTGATCAAATGAGTCATTTCAGGAGACACTGGTTTACCTTCGAACACGTTCCACCCTGTCATCTGTCCGAAGATACTTCTTGGCATTTTCTCCTTTGCCAAAGCCTGCGCAATCTTCGGGGTTGGCAAAAACCTATTCCAAATGCCGAGGGGAAAAAAAAAAAAAAACCTGTTTCAAATACCAAATAACATGGGGAGTACTCTACCTGATATTCACATTTTATTAGAAGAAATACAGGCATCCAAGTTGGTCATTATAAAAAAAAAAGATTGGGAGTTATAGATCAAACCCAGGGGGAGGAGAAAGCATGCAGATTCTCAGGTAGCTTAGTGGTAAAGAATTTGCCTGCCGACACAGGATGCAGGTTTGATCCCTGAGTCCAGAAGATCCCCTGGAGTAGGAAATGGCAACCCACTCCAGTATTCTTGCCTGGGAAATCTCATCGACAGAGGAGTCTGACAGGCTACAGTCCATAACGTAGCAAAGAACTGGACACAACTGAGCACATACACACAGGAGAAAGCATCTCTTCTAAAAACCTGAATTTTTAAGAACAGTGTAAAAAAATTTTTGAAGAGAAGCATAAATAAGAACTTATTAAATAAAAACCAATATATAAAAATAGTGAAAAGGCAGCAAAACCAGAAAAAAGCATAATTCTGAGTCCTCATTAAAATAATAAAAAACTATTATTATGGTGAACTGGCATTTTTTAATAGTAATATTGATGCACTTGTCCTTAAGAACATTATTTCGAACTGATTGACTCATATGAAAGTCATAAGTTTATTTGCCAAAGATACCAGAGAACAGGCACACAGCATAAAAGAGTGGGGACAGTTTTGTACTTTGTTAGGATATGTGTGCCTCTTTTTCTTCTGAATTAACTAAAACTTTAGGTTAAACAATCCAGTGAAATATAAGAAGCTGAATTGCATTCCTATAAACACCAGGCACATATTCCAGGACATATTTTCACATAGTCCTTCCTTTCATTATTATGCTCTTTGAAATGATTTCCCCATTCCCTGAAACTTGAAACATGCACTTAAAAATATTTATGTTCCACTACTTAATGATTTATAATAAAGAAAAACATGAACTATAAAATTAGCCTTAATTTAAGCTGAGAAACTTCATAAATAATATAGCATTTTTCTTAATGTGACATGAGCATTTATTTCAGATAAAGATATTGAGGAGAACCGATCAGCTCTTGAGGGCAGATCTGTCTGTCTGGTTCTGAAATAAATGCATGGCACATACTGGATGTTCAATAAAGAGATTTTGACTAAGTAAATAATGTATTACAATGGAAAGTGCTTGAAATAGGAGTTTAAAACCAATCTGAATTTGAATCCCAGCCTCAGCCTTGGTTGGTGTGTAACTTTGGGAAAGCTACTTAACAGCTCTGATTTTGGTTTCCTCATCCATAAAATGGGAAGAGTAACGCTCATCTCACAGGATAATGCTAACAATTATGTAAAATGCTCCCATGACCTGACATACACAGTGTCACAGTGCCTGGCGTAGATCACTGGCATTTCACAAATTTGAATTCCCTTCCCCTTTTCTTCTAAGACAAGCAACATTTCTGCTGGCCTTGATGCCACAGTATTTCTAGAGGACAGTGTGGATCTGGTGGTTGCTTGTTGTTTAGTCTCTCAGCTGTGTCTGACTCTTTGGAGACCCCATGGACCATAGTCCACCAGACTCCTCCGTCCATGGGATTTCCCAGGCAAGAATACTGCAGTAGGTTGCCATTTCCTGCTCCAGGGGATCTTCCTGACTTAGGGATCAAATCTGCATTTCTTGTGTCTTCCGCACTGGCAGGTGGTTTCTTTACCACCGAGTCAAGACCTGGTAGTAGCAGCCACTTTCTAGACAGAGGCTCAAACACCTTGCCCTGTTAGAGGTTTACCTGTGTGGATATGTGCCCCATTAAAATGCAAACATCATTGGGAAGGAATGATACCTCAAGACGGGAAGGAATGATACCTCAAGACAGTAATGAAGAAATACCTCAGGGAGGACTGTGACTTCTAAATAAAAGTAAGGCTCTGGAGGACTGAAACTCAGGACCAGGACCAAGAGACAGAAATGATGTTTTCCAGAAAGAAGTTAGTGAACAGGCACAGGAGTCACACCAGTGAAAATCATCTAATTTTGTAGCTTTGCTTTACCCATATCACTGTTATCACAAAACAGGTTGCATGCTCAGGCGCTCAGTCGTGTCTGACTTTTTATGACCCCATGGACTGTAGCCTTCCAGGTTCCTCTGTCCATGGGATTCTGTAGGCTGGAACACTGGAGTGGGTTGCTATTTTCTCCTCTAGGGATCTTCCCAGACCAGGGATTGAATCCACGTCTCTTGCATCTCCTGCACTGCAGGCGGATTCTTTACTACTGAGACATCAAGGAAGCTCTTCCCTGTATATGGGTTATGTGTTTCAAAACTTTCTACCACCTTCTCCAAGCCTCCACTTAAAAAAAAAAATTCTTATAATGCTGGGTAGAATACTATCCATTTAAGAAATCATAACCACCCACAATTCAAATGCCTTGTCCCAATCATAGAGACTCTATTAATAACAATAAGAACTTAATTCTGTGCCCTAAGGCATATCCCTGATCTGCAATAGAGCTGAAAACACCAATTCACTGTCTAGAAAGTGACTATTTTCTAAGCTCTAGTTAGCAAAATTAACTTCAAAATCACAAAGTTTCCTTGAAAAATCTGATACTTCAGAAATCTCATATGCTAACTGAACAATAAAAACAAACAAAAAACCATTTACTCATTTCTGGGAGAAACTACCTATTCTGTAAATATATCAGAACCACTTGAACTAAATGCCTGCATATTCATTTACAGTATCAAACAATATGCCATTGGGCTTTACAAAAAAGATTTAAAAATTGCTTTTCAGAATCCCAACTGTTAAAACAAAATACTGCCTCCCAGGTCTTACCTTTCTTGTCAATCTATAGAATGCAGTTGCAGTGCTCATAAACATCATTTTTGAAAGCACAATTGTCGTGTAGGAGGCAAAGGCCATGAATACTTCATTCTCCATTAGCTGCGAAAGGCTGACCATTTTTTTGATTTTGGTCTGGAACCTTAAAAAGATTTTAGACAAGATAGGAAAAAACAGACATAAATACCCCCAAATAATGGGCACTTGGTGTCCTTATACTGCAACATTAACCATACTGTTCTTAAAGATATTTTGGGTTATTTGAAGAAGAAATAATCATTTAGTTTTTGGTTTTTTTTTTCTAATGAATAGTATCATGTTTCTTTCTGGTTCTTTTTTTCCCATTTTAATCATTTATTTAAGTTACTCTTTTTATATAAGTCAAGAAATACATGTGATAGTCTTTGCTCTTATCCATGGTTTTCCTTGTTTTCATTTGCTTTTATTAGCGTATAGCCGCTTTACAATGTCGTATTAATTTCTAGTGTACAGCAAAGTGAATCAGCTACATCTATGCATACAGCCTCTCTTTTTTGGATTCCCTTCCCATTTAGGTCACAACTAAGCACTAAGCCGAGTTCCCTTTGCTATAGAGGAGGCTCTCATTCATTAGTTATCTATTTTATACATGGTATCAATAGTGTATATATGTCAATCCGAATCTCCCAATTCATCTCACCCCCATCCCTGGTTTTTTTCTGGTTCTATATCATTAAGCTTGAACATATCAAACAAGCACTGTGTGAAAATGAAAATATAGGGGTTATCACAAGCAAATATACATAGGTAAACTTTGCTAAAGTTAGAATAAAATCATATTTTGCATCATGATGAGCCACAAATTGGACCCAAACCAGAATCCATGGATCTCTTTCAAAACATCATACTATGTACATAGTAGTACCATTAATGTTTGAGTAGAAACGCCTAAGTTCTAATACATGCCCTTCTTTATAAAGCCAGTTCACAACATTTTGTCATTTCAGTGGTAATCAAGATCTGACTCCAGGATTTGAATTCCAGCCACATCATTTGGTTATTGTCTTTGATTGAGAGATTTAGCCTCTGTGAAACTGGATTTCTTCATTGGTAAGATAGGAATAGTTGTTCAGTTACTAAGCTGTGTCCAACTCTGCAACCCCATAGACTGCAGCACGCCAGGCTTCCCTGTCCTTCACCATCTCCCAGAGTTCACTCAAACTGCATCGGTGATGCTATCGAACCATCTCATCCTCTGTCGTCCCCATTTTCCTCCTACCTGCAGTCTTTCCCAGCATCAGGGTCTTTTCCAGTGAGTTGGCATCTCCCAACTTAGTGGGTTACTGTCAGGATTTAAGTGAGATAACATGTGGAACATACCTAGCACATGCCAGGCCCATGAAAACCCTCAATAAAACTGATTAGCTCCTCATCATGATCATCACTGTCACCACGACTAGGGTCATCATTCACACCAACACAAGTGAAGAGGGTGAAACAGGATAATGGAAACATAAAATAAAAGGTGTGCAAAAATGAATAAATAAATAAAAAGCTTGCAAACGTGGGGGAGAAATAGGTATTCATGATACTTTCGTAGAAGGGACAAGGGGAGGAGAATTAGCTTTACAAAACTCTTCAGGTCACTTCACATTCTATATTTACTCCCATTGAAAAGCTGTCAAGAGTAAATGGAATGTAACCCCCTGAATCTAGAGTTGGAAGAATAACTAGAGAAGTGCTCAGGAGGAGGAAGAAGAGGTACGCAGATGACACTCAAATCCAAGTGGGTAAGAATTTAGGGAAAAGCTGAAATTTGGCACTATCTGACATTCTTTTTAACCTCCTCTCTTCTATTATCAGCCCCACTACCTACATCTTCTCTTTCTTCCACATAAACACACACCTTTTATCATGAGTGCATGTATGCATGCATGCTAAGTCGCTTCAGTCATGTCCAACTCTCTGCAACCCGATGGGCTATAGCCCGCCAGGCTCCACTGTTCATGGGATCCTCCAGGCAAGAATACTGGAGTGGGTTGTTGTGCCCTTCTCCAGGGGATCTTCCCGACCCAGGGATCAAACCCACGTCTCTTATGTCTCCTGCATTGGCAGGTGGGTTCTTTGCTACTAGTGCCACCTGAGAAGCCCATCTTTTCTCATACCCAAGCTTAAACACCATTTTACTGCCTTAGCATGAAGTGTTGTCTCTTGTAGACATATCTGTTCCTGCCTTTAAAACTCAACCCCTGCATGCAACCTATTTAGAGAAATTATTCTAATCATTCTACCCATCTACCAGTAATCTATAAACCTATATATCTTTCTAGACTCTGCTACTGGTCATCCAGTTGTCTGTATGTTACTGTTGAATGTGACATGCCTATATATATACATGTCTATATATATATAATACATACATATTTAATTTTATAAGACTTGGCTATATTATACCATGTACTTTATGTGCATTACCTTACATAATTTCTATAACTATGAGACTATAGTCCTCATGAGTATATCTATTCTACAGATGAAATAAATGGAAATTACAGATATTGAGCAGCCACACTGGGACAGGAACCCAAGTCTCTGATCTCACATCTCATATACCAACCACACTGCACTGTCTCCTTCAAGAGACTGCAAACTGCTTAATTCTGATTCAACTAACATTGAGTGAATGCCTACACTGCACCTACCCTACACCTGCACCAGTGCCAGCACCCATTCCACCAGTTATCTTCCTTCTTCTTCCAATTATGCTACAAGGTAAGTATTAGCCCCATTTTGGAAATAAAAACCCAAAGCTTCCTAAGCAATCTCTATTTTGAAAGGTAGGCTAAAAATAGCTTCCTTGGGTTCAGGCAAATAGAAATGTACAGTTAACCCTTGAACAACACAGATCTGAACCATGTGGATCTACTCATATTTGTATTTTTTTTCCATACTAAATACCAGAGTGGTACACAATCAGTAGTTGGTTGAATCTGCAGATGCAGAGCCATGGATACTGAGGAACTGGGTATAAGGAGGGGGTGACTATAAGTTATACATGGATTCTCATCTACCCATAGGATAGGCCCCCCAACCCCCATGATGTTCAAGGATCAGCTGCATTTAGTTTAAACACTCACACACACACAGTAGCAAGTTAATCCACTTCCACAGGTCAGTAGTCTTGAAAGCAAGTATGACAGATTCTGCCAGCTAAAGACTGTCACTTGCCATCTGATTCTATGAGAATCTTTCTCATGCCCTGAAAGGAGTTCAGAGTTAATCAGAGAGAAGTCACTCTGTGTTCTAGGAAAACTGGCAAAACTGGCTTGCAGATAGTTAGACAGTTTCCGGGAGAAATTTTTATGAGCCAAATTTCTTGCATCTTTTTATACCTAGAAAAGCACTAAAATCATTAATAGAGACACTATTCCTTATAACCAGCAGCAACCTTCTACCAAGATCTGGGTTTGATTGCACATACCCGCTTTACCAAATTCATTTATATACTGACTTCCCCATCTACCTCTTTAGAGAAGTTCTTCAGCTTTAGAGAAGCTAGCTGAGGGGCTGTCTCCTGGGCTACAGTCCTCAGTAAGCCTCAACAAAAACTGAACTCATAGCTCTCACATGATGTTTTTTTCAGTCCACATTTCTCAGGGCAAGATAATATTATACTTTTAGTAACATTTTTAAAGATTTTTTTTGATGTGGATTTTTTTCCCCCCAGCTGTTGCTGCACAAAAAACCAATTGTTAAAACACTGGTTCTGTTTTATGAGGTTTTTTTTTTGGCCACCAAGGTATGGAGATCCTAGTGTCCCAACCCCAACAGGGATCAAACCCACACCTGCCTACGTGGGAAGGTCTCAACCGCTAGACTGCCAGGAAGCCTCCACCCCTTGCTTTTCGCAACATTTAATGTATCTACTATTGTTCTAGTATGGGGGTGGGGAGGAGTCACAAATAAACTGCATTCTTCTCCATCATTGAATTTAGAGTAATTAGCTTAATTTCTAAGTCCCTAAGCCCTATGCCTCTGAAGAAACACAGCAGGGAGGTTAATTTAAAAAAAAAGAAAACAACAACTTAATAAAGTTTATCAAGTAGGAGGTGCTACTATCTAACCCTAGTTTTAAAAGTCAACAGGTTTCTGTAGGTCTTCACCAATGTTCTCAGAATGAAATGCATTTACCAGTGAAAGAAAAGTTGAGAGGATGGTTTTCTCTCAGTGAACATGGGTATTGAAAGAGTAGAGAAAAAGTAGAAGACTTTCAGACTGTTGCTGGGAAAAGAACACAAAATCTTGAGCAGTTGGGGACAAAGGTCAACGGCAGGATTTTTTTTTTTTTTCCCCTCTAAATGTGAACAACACACAAAGTGTACTTCACAGAGAGAATTTCTTAATCACCAAGAATGTGGCTTAGCTCTTCCAGTCTGTGGTTTTGGGAGGTGGCCAATACTGAGCTCCTGATACAGCACTCTGTGGGCCCACAAATCGCCTCTCAGGATAGACGTGGTCCACTCCCAGCACATCTGAGGGTGGGGTAAGCAGAGCTAAAGGTAAGACATTAAGAAACAGGAGTCATTTACAGCATGAAATTAGGCACCACTAATCTACACTTTTTTTTTCAAGGTTTATTTGTCGATAAGCTGCCCTGAACTTGCATCATGCCATTGCACTGCACTCCAAAAAGAAGTTACTAGAAGCTTTGTTCAGGAAAGATCATCAAGAGAGAGGAAAGTGGTAGAGCAGTAATAATATTTCAGAGGTTAAAGTGTTCAGTGATTTGAGTAGTCAAGGAATGCAGTAGAAATTATCTAAGAAAAGTAAGCAGAACAAAACATGAAACTTGGTGATGAGTTATAGAAATTATTCCAGTGATGAATTCTATTTGGACAGTGTGTTGTCCCTTTCATTGTCCAACACTGGTTGGCATAATAGAGAATATATCTACCTATCTCACCAGAGAGGGGGACTCAATCACCTAATGTGGAGGGGGTGCTTTTACGAAGGACAAAGACAGACTCCAGAACTAGACGTAGTGGATCCAATTCTGTCATTTACCAGCTGTAATTAACTAATCTTCCCTGCAACATGAGGTTAATAAAACCTCCTACCTCACAAAACTCTTGGGAGTATTAAGTGAATAAAGCATAAAGTGGGGAGTCTGGGAAAGAGTGGATGCATGCTTATGAGTGGCTGGGTCCCTTCTCTGTTTGGCTGGAACTGTCGTGGCATTGTTAATTGGCTATGCCCCAGTACAAAATAAAAAGTTTAAAAAAAAAAAAGAAAGGCAGTGGGACCTGGTAAGTGCTAGGTAAGTACTTGGTGAATAAATAAGCTCTTACCTTGGCACTGTTCTAGGCAGTGAGGATACAATTTCAGAGTTTTCAAAGGCCATAGCATTATCTCTCTTGAGAGCTTGGAGAAATTCAAGTAGAGCAAATAATATTTGTCACTACCTTGAACATATAATGAAACTGAGACCCAGAGAGGAACTTTTTTTTTCAAGGTTTATTTGTCGATAAGCTGCCCTGAACTTGCATCATGCCATTGCACTGCACTCCAAAAAGAAGTTACTAGAAGCTTTGTTCAGGAAAGATCATCAAGAGAGAGGAAAGTGGTAGAGCAGTAATAATATTTCAGAGGTTAAAGTGTTCAGTGATTTGAGTAGTCAAGGAATGCAGTAGAAATTATCTAAGAAAAGTAAGCAGAACAAAACATGAAACTTGGTGATGAGTTATAGAAATTATTCCAGTGATGAATTCTATTTGGACAGTGTGTTGTCCCTTTCATTGTCCAACACTGGTTGGCATAATAGAGAATATATCTACCTATCTCACCAGAGAGGGGGACTCAATCACCTAATGTGGAGGGGGTGCTTTTACGAAGGACAAAAACAGACTCCAGAACTAGACGTAGTGGATCCAATTCTGTCATTTACCAGCTGTGATTAACTAATCTTCCCTGCAACATGAGGTTAATAAAACCTCCTACCTCACAAAACTCTTGGGAGTATTAAGTGAATAAAGCATAAAGTGGGGAGTCTGGGAAAGAGTGGATGCATGCTTATGAGTGGCTGGGTCCCTTCTCTGTTTGGCTGGAACTGTCGTGGCATTGTTAATTGGCTATGCCCCAGTACAAAATAAAAAGTTTAAAAAAAAAAAAGAAAGGCAGTGGGACCTGGTAAGTGCTAGGTAAGTACTTGGTGAATAAATAAGCTCTTACCTTGGCACTGTTCTAGGCAGTGAGGATACAATTTCAGAGTTTTCAAAGGCCATAGCATTATCTCTCTTGAGAGCTTGGAGAAATTCAAGTAGAGCAAATAATATTTGTCACTACCTTGAACATATAATGAAACTGAGACCCAGAGAGGCAGAATTAGTAATCTGACCCAAAATTCACAGTGGAGGGCCCAAGACTGAAACCCAGTTTTCTCTAATATTGAACCTGTAGGCTATCCACCATCAAGGCAAAGAATTCTGGACTACCCTGGTCTTCTGGGGAGTTCTTTCCGTCAAATCCCCTTCCTGTCTTATCCCCCTCACCCTCCTCCCAGAATCCCACCCCACCCCCTTATTGTCTATCACAGTTTAGTGATAGATACCGTTTATTAACTGAGAAATAGTCCTCTTCTCTTTATAGGCTCTTGGCCAAAAAGAGCAAAGTTACTTTATTTATGGCGGCCTTCCTCCTTCAATATTGTGCAACACAGAAAACATGAGCACACATTCCCATGGGCATGACTCTGCAATTTCAGACCTTCTTAAAGCAACTGAACACTGCCCATGAGATAAAGAGAAAAGACAATTCAGTGGCCTTCTTGCTGTTTGTGAGTTCTAGAATTTACTGAATAGACTGAGTGACTGCAGACACGGCCCCCTATGCTTCAGGGCCAGGTGTTGGGGTGGGGGTGGGGGGGGATGCTGCTGGCTGTGGGGGGAAGGGGACTATGCTCAGGAAACTATGCTGACCTCCTTTTCCAGTCTCAGCATTTAAGAAACTCCACTCTCAAACAAACCCTCAGAAAAACCGCCCTTGCCGCAGAAAGTAATATTCAAATTTGGACCGATTTGCTATTTTTCAAGATGGCCAAAGATGGCCAACACACACACACAGAGGCTTCTTACTTTGGAAACCTCAGAAGACAGCAAAACTCAATACCAGCCTAATTCCCAGAGAATACAAAAGGTGTGTCTTCTTTGGTATTCACAGCAGGGTAGGGCTCTGAGAACACTGGGCTAGTCTGGTCTAAAGCCTGTTAGCTGGGGGCCTGAACAAGTTTCCAAAAGCTATTCAACCATGTTTGAGGACAGCCCACTTGGCACTTTCTTAGAGAGTAAACAGCAGAGGGAAAAGGAGAAAATAAAAAGTGGTGTCAGGACTACCAAAAGATCTTGTGACTATTTCAAAGAACGCAGCAGGTAGAATCTGCAGGCACCCTGGCCCCCACCGCCCAAGTCCAGCGATGGCAGTCACAGGTGAGGCCTTAACTCCCAGGAAAGGGCTCCTCTCTCCTCTACTCCTTCCACACGCTTCCACCTCCAGTCTGGGCGCCTCCCCTCCAGAACCCTCCCGGGGGGTTTGATCCTTAGCTTTCCTGTCATCTAATAGGATCTGATTCAGGTCCTGCTGCACTTTGTTCATTATTTCTATTATTTTTACCTTGCTGATGTTTCTCTGGCCTGTCAAAGTGAACCAAGAAAGGCAAGTTCTATCTTTCAGGANTGTGCAAACAAGTTTCAGGTCTGCAGAGATCCCCCAAGCCTGCACCTGCCACCCCGGCCCCCTTCCTGCCGCCACCCTCTTTCTGCTTACCCTCTGCTTACACACCACTCCCGAGTAGGTGCTGTGAATCCGAGCAGGAGAAAGACCGCGAACCGGTCCCAGAAGCGGGTCGCTCGGGAGCTGTGGGAATTTCACTGCGCGGGGCAGGCGGGACATCTCAGAGGCCACGCCCCCTCTGGTTAATTTCCGCGGCTTTTGGCTCCGGGTAGCTGAAAGCACAAAGGCCGACCTCGCCAAACCCCTCCCCTAAATCGCCTGATTTTTCTCTCCCGGAGTAACCCCCGCCCACCGGTTGCGCTTTCTGAGCTCTTTCTTTTCCGTGCGGTCTGAAGTTCTCAACCCCAAAGGCCGTTTGCCCGCCTGCGCCTGGGGACCTTTCAAGTTTATGTAGCCGCAATTTTTAAAGGTCTCAGTGTTGAAACCACTGAAAGCTTTAGAGAAGGTTTAAATCTAGGGGGCGGGGCAAGGAAGGGACCTGATTAGAAGTCGCTGATACTTCTCTTGAACTTTGCTTTCCCTGCTTCTAAAGGCTGGCACTGACAACAATGTAACCTTTGGCGTAGATTACCTAAAAGTCTTCCAAATCCGTGATCCTGGACAATTTGCTTCCCCACTCTGAACCCTTTCTGTTCAGAGTCCAAAATGGCACTGCAAGAAATTAAACTGGGTCATTTCTTCCACACGGAGAAGGCAATAGCACCCCACTCCAGTACTCTTGCCTGGAAAATCCCACGGACGGAGGAGCGTGGTGGGCTGTAGTCCATGGGATCGCTAAGCGTCGGACACGACTGAGCGACTTCACTTTCACTTTTCACTTTCATGCACCGGAGAAGGAAATGGCAACCCACTCCAATGTTCTTGCCTGGGTAATCCCAGGCACGGGGGAGCCTGGTGGGCTGCCGTCTATGGGGTCGCATAGGGTCGGACAGCAGCAATTCTTACACAATCAGCTTAGTATAGCTTTTGTAAGGACTTAAGGGGAGTGTTTAAGAAAGCTGTAGTTATTCCAATACCAATATCTAGGCTGCAAGGAGATCAAATCAGTCAATCCTAAAGCAGATCACAGCCCTGAAAATTCATTGGAAGGACTGATGCTAAAGCTGAAGCTCTAATACTTTGGCCACCTGATGTGAAGAGCCCACTCATTGGAAAAGACCCTGATGCTGGGAAAGATTGAGGGCAAGAGTAGAAGGGGACAGCATAGGGTGAGATGGCTGGATGGCATCACCGACTCAAAGGCCATGAGCTTGAGCTAACTCCAGGAGAGAGTGGAGGACAGAGGAGCTTGGCATGCTGCAGTCCATGGGGTCGCAGAGTCTGACCCAACTTAGCGACTGAATGACAACATCTCAAGCCTCCTTGTCCCACAACAGTATATATGGGTGTAACTTCAGTCAACTACATGCTGACACTTGCCATTGGCACTTATCATCTACCTCTACAAGAATTAAATATGTGCTACTGCAGCTGCTGATTTTCAACACCTGCCAAGAAGAGTTCAGAGTGGAGCAGAAATGAGGCACTCTGGCTGGATGTGGGGACAGGACGAGGCAGGGCAGGAAGTACCAGCAGAACAGGTCTTCAGATATGTGTTTTCAGGAGGTGAGTTTATGAGCCCAATTCTTGTATCTTCTCATATCTAGAAAAACACTAAAATCCTTCATGGTGACATCTGCTTCTTGTGACTAAGAAAACTTCTGCCAAAAAAAAAACCAAAAAGTGATTGATTGCATGTACTCCTGCTTCACCAAATTCATGTTTATATTGACCTTTCCCCCTGCCTCTTTTCAACAGTTTCTTAGAGCTGCTTCAAGTGCTATTTTCCCAGGCTGCAGTCCTCATTTTGCCCCAAATAAAACATAACTCACAACTCTCACATTCTGCATTTTTTTTAAAAGTCAACACTCTCATGGCTTTATCGAAACATGTTTAAGGATTTATATTTTCCATCTGTGTTACTTCTCATGTGCTCATACCTCTTACACGTTTACCACCTGCCGTGCATAGTGTACTTCCTTTTTTTGACCTCATTTTACCTCCTTTTGACTTTAAAAGCTGCCTCCAGGACTAGCTGACTAAGATTTGATGGACAAATCCATATTCTATCAAAAAAGGAAGTAAGATTTACCAGTTTGCTCTAGGAAGCAGAAATTAATCACAGTCCCGAGAACACTTTCTACAGAAGTATATCAATAGAAGAATTAGAAAGTCTAGCATCAGCAGACATTAGTGCTGCACTTTCATTGTCTGAGTCTTTTGAAAACTACATATATTTATTCTATCTCAGTCAAGTACACTGGAACTTGGCTGTGACACTCACTGGAATAAGACAGAATTTGAGATAATTCTGAATTCTTGTCAAGGGATTTTAATACTACAAGTATTTAGAAGACTCTTTTCATTTATTAGGAGGTAAAATGTCTCTAATCTTATGGATGACATTACAGAAAAAGGTACAGAGAACTATTATTTAAATAATTTGATATTCAGAATTCCAATTGAGCGGTTCTAACAAGTTTTTGAAATGATCACCAGACTCATCTGGTGCTCTAATTATAAAATGAATTCAAACTATTAATCAATCAGTGAATAAGTACTGAGTTCCTGCTACCAATAAATCATGTACAATTATTGCCTATCTGTTATATATATGACATTGTCTTTGGTACAATAATCAACTATTGACTATAAAGAATTAATTTGATAGATAGTTATGAAATGAACTTGGTTTGATGCTAAGATTTGAAACTAAGATATGTGTATTAGTTGCTCAGTCATGTCCAACTCTTTGCGAGCCCATGGACCATAGCCTGTCAGATTCCTTTGTCCATGGAATTCTCCAAGCAAGAATACTGGAGTGGGTAGCCATTCTCTTCTCCAGGGCATCTTCCGGACCCAAGCATCAAACTTGGGTCTCCTGCATTGCAGGAAGATTCTTTACCATCTGAGCTACCAGGGAAGGCTCATGAAACTAAGATAAATGACATCAAATAATTGTGCTCCAGGAGTTTGCAATCGAGTAAAAACAGTAGCCAAAAGTAAGAAGCTGCCACTAAACCAAAGGATGAAGAATTTCAATTTAAAGATGAGAATGATAATCGGGGTATAATCTAGGGTAGTAATAGCTTCCCTTGTGGCTCAGCTGATGAAGAATCTGCCTGCAATGCAGGAGACCTGGATTTGATCCCTGGGTTGGGAAGATCCCCTGGAGAAGGAAAAAGCTACCCACTCCAGTGTTCTGGTCTGGAGAATTCCGTGGACTGTATAGTCCGTGATGTTGCAAAGAGTTGGACTTGACTGAACGACTTTCACTCACTCACTCACTAGGGTAATAATAGGAAGAATGCTATGAAAGAATTTACACTTCTACTCATCTCTGTTGCATGCTCTTAGATGAGTGAGGAAGAGAAAGTTATTTTTCAGCTTGTTTTAGTTTAAGTAAAGGGAAGGGTTCAAACTCTGAACCCTTCTGCTCACCACCATTTTAAGCCTATAATGAGATCTTTCAGGGAAACTCAATCCAAGGTTCAAGACAAGTAATTCCACAGTAAATATTAAAACAGTTTAAAAGGTCACTGATGTGGGGTGGAGAGAGCAAAGGTCATTCAGCAAAGAGTAGCTGCTACAACAAAGAAAAGGGAGATCAAATCAGAATGATCTGGGAGAATAAAGCATTAGAAATCTAATAGTTCTTGCCTTAAAAAAAAAAAAAAAACAGACAAATGAAAAAATGTCAGAAAGTATTGCTATCACCGCTAGACTAGGTTTCGCATAAATGGGAAGGAATCAGATGCCCGTCACTCCTTTTGATTCTCTTGGACCTTTGTTTATTCTCTAATCCATACAGTAGCTGCCTCTGCAAATCTGAAACTAAAGATATAGACCGTTCTTGGAGATTTCAGCAAATATATGTGAGAACATGGCTTAAGATGAAGGAAAGAAAGTGAAAGTGAAAGAAAAATAAGCAGCATTCTAAACTTACAAAGATTATTTTAGAATTATAACACACTTTTTAAAGGTATTGTGTTGTTGTTTAATCGCTAAGTCATGTCCAACTCTTTTGAGACCCCATGGACTGTACCCACCAGACTCCTCTGTCCCTGGCATTTCCCAGGAAGGAATACTGGAGGGAGTTGCCATTTCCTTCTACAGGGGATCTTCCCTACCCAGGGATGGAACCCACATCTCCTGCATTGGCAGGCATGTTCTCTACCACTGAGCCACCATGAGAGCCCCTTTTAAAGGTATACTAGATTGTTCATCTCTCCCAACAGCCCTATAAGAGAGTTTTTATTTTTCCTATTTTACAGTCCAGAGGAGTTTGAAAATTGTGTTAACTTTTAAAATAAAATCTGAACCTAATACCTGCTGGAGTTAAAAGTAGCCACAAAAACAGAACTAAAAAATGATGAAACTCATAAAGGTAATCAAGAGAATATGGTAAAGGTTTAGGATAAACAAGTGGGTCAAAAGAACAGAAAGGAATCTAGAAATAGAATCACACTTAGTTGGTCAGTTGATTTTTCAGGACATTGTACACTGTGCCAAGTTCTTCAGTCAAGTCTGACTCTTTGTGATCCTATGGACTATAGCCCACCAGGCTCCTCTGTCCATGGGATTCTCCAGGCAAGAATACTGGAGTGGGTTGCCATGTCCTCCTCCAGGGTATCTGCCCAACCCAGGAATGGAACCCACGTCACTTGAGTCTCCTGCATTGGCAGGTGTGTTCTTTACCACTAGCGCTAGATTTTCAGCAAAGGTTCCAAAGCAATGCAATAGAGAAAGGAAAGTTTTCAATAAATGGAGCTGGAACAACTGGATAGCCACATGGAAAAAAAGGAACATCAACCCCCAGCTCACACTGTACATATAAAAATAATTCAAGGTAGATCATAGACTTAAAAGCTAATAATATCCTGGAGAAGGAAATGGCAACCCACTCCAGTATTCTTGCCTGGAGAATCCCATGGACAGAGGAGCCTGGTGGGCTACAGTCCATGGGGTCGCAAAGAGTTGGACATTACTGAGCAACTAACATGCACACACATGTATATGACAGAATTTTGTGACTGGAGTTGTTGGAATTCTTCCTCTGGACCTATAGTAGGACCAAATGGAACATTTCCACTCTGAGGTATC